TTTTAACCGACGATTCCTTCCTCATTACAGACCCAAAAACTTTATTTGTGTACATTGGGGAGCTTCTTAGGCCGGAAACAGTTTGATAAGTACAAAAATCACGCTTGTGAAATTTTGATTTTCGACGGAAATTTTCATAAGGGGGAGGGTCGATTTTTTCGAATAAAATTACGTCTCTCAAAATGACTTGAATTTTACATCATTTTCATAAGAGAGAAGCGAGGAAGGCAGCGAACTCAGTAAAAAACTCTCCAGATTCGGAAAAATCGACAGTTTCTGTCCATTTTGAGTCGTTTTTGCGCGGTCACGCCGGTCACGACTTTAACCGACGATTTCTTCCTCATTACAGACCCAAAAACTTTATTTGTGTATATTAGGAAGCTTCTTACATCGGAAACGATCCAATGAGAGCAAAAAATCCGGTTGTAAAATTTTGATTTTTGACCGAAATTTTCATAAAGGGGAGGACCGATTTTTTCGAAAAAAATTACATCTCTCAAAATGACTTGAATTTTACATCATTTTCGTCAGCGAGAAGCGAGGAAGGCAACCTCAATGAGAGCAAAAAATCCGGTCGTAAAATTTTGATTTTTGACCGAAATTTTCATAAGGGGAAGGACCGATTTTTTCGAGAAAAATTACATCTCTCAAAATGACTTGAATTTTACATCATTTTCGTCAGAGAGAAGCGAGGAAGGCAGCTCAGTAAAAAACACTCCAGATTCTTCAGATCCGGAAAAATCGAAATTTTCTGTCCATTTTGAGTCGTTTTTGCGCGGTCACGCCGGTCACGACTTTTAACCGACGATTTCTTCCTCATTACAGACCCAAAAACTTTATTTGTGTATGGGCACAAAAAACACGCTTGTAAAATTTTGATTTTTGACCGAAATTTTCATAAGGGAGAGGGTCGATTTTTTCGAAAAATTTAAATCTCTCAAATTGCCTCAAATTTTATATGATTTTCGATAGACAGAGGCGAAGAAGGCAACGAGCCCAGTAAAAAACACTCCAGATTCGGAAAAATCGACATTTTCTGTCCATGTTGAGTCGTTTTTGCGCGGTCACGCCGGTCACGACTTTAACCGACGATTTCTTCCTCATTACAGACCCAAAAACTTCATTTGTGTATATTAGGAAGCTTCTTACATCGGAAACGATCAAATGAGAGCAAGAAATCCGGTTGTAAAATTTTGATTTTTGGCCGAAATTTTCATAAGGGAGAGGGTCGATTTTTTCGAAAAAACAAATCTCTCAAAATGCCTCAAATTTTACATCATTTTCGATAGAGAGAAGCGAGGAAGGCAACGAGCTCTGTAGAAACCATTCCAGTTTCTTCAGATCCGGAAAAATCAACATTTTCTGTCCATTTTGAGTCGTTTTTGCGCGGTCACGCCTGTCACGACTTTTAACCGACGATTTCTTCCTTATTCCAGACTCGAAAACTTCATTTGTGTATATTGGGGAACTTCTCAGGCCGAAAACAATTCAATGAGCATAAAAACCACGCTTGTAAAATTTTGATTTTTGACCGAAATTTTCATAAGGGGGATCAATTTTTTGGAAAAAAAATTACATCTCTCAAAATGACTTGAATTTTACATAATTTTCGTCAGAGAGAAGCGAGGAAGGCAACGAGCCCAGTAAAAAACACTCCAGATTCTTTAGATCCGGAAAAATCGACATTTTGTGTCCATTTTCAGTTGTTTTTGCGCGGTCACGCCAGTCACGACTTTTAACTGACGATTTTTTCCTTATTACAGACCCGAAAACTTCACTTGTATATATTGGGAAACTTCTCAGCCCGGAAACAATCAAATGAGCACAAAAAACACGCTTGTAAAATTTTTATTTTTGACCGAAGTTTTCATAAAGGGGGAGGGGCGATTTTTTCGAAAAAAATTACTATACTTAATATACTTAATTATAGTTCATGAGTAAGTAATTGCTTACTAGTAAAGTGATAAAGTTGCAAGTGCATCCTCAAGCCCTTTTTCGTACTCTCCAGTATATCCCTCAAAAAAATGCCGAACTTAAAACACCCGGTATTCATAACTCTCCCGTTCAACAAATAATTTAAATGCATGATTCAAAAACAGATACAAGAGCAGTCTAAATGAAACAACATTTTTTCTGCCTGCGAGCTAAAGAGACATTTTTGGTCCTTCGAGCCGAATAGACCAAGGCAAAGCAACTAATTTTCTAGTAGATGTCTACATATTTGATTTCTTCTTCTCATTTTTTTGAGACCATTACCCGGACTGAAAAATGAAGTCACCCAAAAAAAACCGAGAAAAATATTCCCTTCATTTTTATTGCGTTTCGCAACGTACAAATTTATTGTTCGCTCTTCGGTTTGAGTTCAGGGTGATGACAAATTTATTGCGTTGTTTGCATTCGGCATAAAATCTGCAACCGGGCAAGCGGAAAAAACGACCAAAAAAGCGATATTGAGTTATGTCGATGATTTCTCAAATGGTAACGAGAACGAACGAGGCGCCTCAGCCGCTCCGAATCTTTAATTGTCACTTTTCGCCGGCCAGTCCATAATTTAATATGAATATGGAGTTTTCGTATCTACACCGAATTAACAAAGCTACCATCCAAAGTCACAAAACTCTTTTCAATTATTTCTAACAATCCCTCAAGTGCTTGCAGCTGACCTTTAAAGCAGAGCCATTTTTCTTTAATTTTCCGATCGGATGTCCCTTGTTTCCACATAGGCAAACTATAATTTTACAATAATTACCTTTGAAGAAAACGCGCACTAATTCTCTTCGAAAGTGGTAGATTGGCAAAACATTTAACAGCTTGAAATGACCGAACGCAATCTGCCTCCAGCTTGAAGCTCCAAGGCACGCACTTAAAAATATTAATGGTCTTCATTGACAAAAGGACATCCTGTGAGAAAAAGATAATGGTGCCCGGTAGCCGCGGTAGTAATTGTTTCAAAGTAAAACAACGATTTATTTTCAGGTTCATTGATAAATGCGTGACGTCAGAAAGCCGGTGGTCCGACATTTGAATATAATGAAAGAACCGGAGACAAAGATCAAGACTTCGGAGCCTTATTCTCACTGGAATCAAACGATTTATACGAACGAGGCAAAATTGCAGCATTGGAGCCCGATGGGTCAGTGTTGCTCAATTGATTCCCAAACCCCGGCAAAATTTACCCGTGAGTGGAAGTGAGCAGGTCTCCGACTGCTTGAAGTAGAAAGGGACGCACAATTTGATGTGTACAAATGAACAACAGTTGAAGGCGGAGCTCCGATTCGCAACGACTAAGTCCCGAACGTGGCCTATTGCGCATTGAGGGGCGTTTCCCAGCCAAAAGCAAAGGATTAGTGTGATCTCTTTCCAATACACGCCATTGCAGTTCGACTTTATTCAGCTCATTATTCAAAGGTTTATTGAGACCGCCAGCATATTTCTATGAATAAAACACAACGATGGCAAAGTTGTGGACCGACACTCGTCAGTTTTCCAGATTTTAGGAATTATATTTGAAGGCAAAAGGATCTAAAATAATGATGGGGTTGCACCAAAACTTTTGAACCCCAAACATTTTTGAAGCAACAAAGCTCAAAGTGTTTCTTGCCTCTGATCAATGTCGGGCTCGCAAACAGTATAGAGAGCGTGAAAAGTGAACTTCGAGCACCACACATTTTTGAACCAACAAGCCGAAAGATAAAACAAACCAGAATGTTTCCTCGAGCATGAACCATTTTCATCTTCTCAATCATCCCTTGTTATTTTTCCAAATGAATAGCTTAGATGATGTTAAATGTGGCGATTTGTACCTAAAAACTGGAATTTCTGGAACGATTATTGTAATCCCTTACAAGGGCGGATCCAGGGAGGGGGTTTAAAAACTATTTCTCCCCGACGTTTCTCCAACAC